ATTTTGTGAAATATTTGAATTAGTTTTATGTCAAAATAGCATGAAATGCGTATCTCCTGAATGTGTTGTTTACGATCCCTCCCGCAGGGGTTTTTGCCCTTGTTAATCTTTTTCGCCGAAAAATCAGAAAACGTACATCGCTAGTGTTAGTATTAGTTACACAACACAACTGAAAGCACGATGGCTGATCAGCAGAGAGTTACAAGCAAAGTTCCAAGAGGAGTGCAGTATTGCTGTATTTGTAAAGCATATCGGGGGAAAATAATAGAAGGAAGAAGGGTTTCCTTACCTAAATTTCCTACTGATCCTGAACTGAATCGAGTATAGAGGCAGCGAGTACGTACTGTGATTGTAATGACAGCCGGGTACAGCAAGTTGTGCAGTGAGCATTTGTTTGGAAAGCGCGGACCGAACCTCCTTCACATCTCTTTGCCATCAATTTTTGCAAACAAGGATTTTCAGATTACATCAGTAAGTTTTTTTCCTATAATTATAACTGTGTTTCGGCTAATTATTTAATGACTTAAGTATTGTTTATTTTGATCAAAAAGCCGGAAATGGCTGCTATCACTGTGATTTGTTAATGTTAAATCCTTAAACATATAAATAATGATAAGACTTTTAAAATGAGTAATTTTAATAAAAGATTATAACCAAACTTGAAAAGTTTAATTATGTAGTAACCAAGGGTTGGTTTTTAAGTTTTATTTATTATGTTAAAAATTGTGTACGGTACCGGTACACAGTTTATCGTTCGTCATTATTGAATCGATATTTAATAGTTTTGCAATAGTAATATTAATAATCAGTGCTTTTTTTGTGCCGGTACCCCCGGTAGGCGTACTGGCACCTTTTTCAATGTGGGGAAAAAATAATTACTGTTCTTGTATTTTAACATTTATTATTAATTTATTATATTATTAATTTGTTAAAATTGAATTATTTTAAATTGCGCACAATAAGAATTAAAATATTAAATGCGAAACTGCTTTCCTGGTAGTTAAAAGTTAGGCAATCCATCACTGAGTACCGGCACCTATTTTAAAAAAACCAAAAAAACCACTGTTAATAATAATCGTTTTTCTCTTATTATTTTAGAGAATATTACTAAAATAGGCCTACATATCAATATACATATCAATATCAGTTATAATTATAAACAACTGTTATTAGAATCCTATAATAGTCTATTTAGGCCTAAGCTTAATCTAATTCTATTAACAACCACACTTACTAATAATATACATTAAATTAATAAACAATACTCAAACAACATCATCGTAGTAAATATATTTTATTAGAACATAGAAAAGCAGTACATAGACAACTATTTAATATATCAAATAACATTTTTAATAAATAAATCTCATCACCATGGATAATTTTTTAAAATGTATAATTACATGCGTTCAATTTTATATATAAAAAAGACTACTTACCTTTTTATAAATATAATAATTGATTTAAAATTTAATACAAGCATAATAAAATTAGTTAAAATTCAATAAACATGTTATTTTTTCATTTTTTCCTGTATAAATAATGATTTTTCCCATTTTTTCTGTTCACTTTTTTCTGAACATACCCACAAATAAATATATAAAAAAAAAAAGTCTTGATGTTATATATAAAAGTTTTGTTGTTTATTGTGTTGTATATTGCATTGAGAATGTCTCTTGAAAACTTGGTAGCATTATCTTTTAAAATCCAAAAGTTTTTGGCAAAATAAGGCAGAAATTTGGAAAGTGTGTCACACATTTTTTTCAGTTAAATACTAAGATAAAGAAGGGGGTTTTAAAAAATCACCAAAAAACTCATAACTCCACTTCTATAAAAGATAGAAAGATGAAATTGGTGTTGTTGTAAAGCTTATAGCTAGCCCTTTAAAATGATGTATGATTCATGACAATCGGACAATATTTAAATTGTGTGTCAAAGTACCTAACTTAAGCAAAGCCTACTGACCTACTGAGAGAAAGATTATTACCAATTATATCATATGGCATGGTTAGGCTGGATTAGGCCTACGCTTAGTGATAGATCATGAATCATATGAATGCTCATAATATGATTATGCTACCAATAAGTGTCATTATATGGGCCTAAATATAGGCGCCCTATATTTATAATTTTGAATTTACATTTAGCTTAGGCCTACTAAGCCTACGTCTTTAATATTAAAACAAGGATTAAATTTGGTAGACTAATTTTAATTACTAATTATTAGAGTATTATAATTATACTTGGACTTGCAGTACTAGCACTATCATTATTTATAACTGATTTAATGACAGCTTAATACGACTTTTCATTTGGCTCTGGCATAAAGTCAAGTCCTGTGTGGTTTGAAAAATAATTTAAGTTTAAGTGTAAGCTTCTCGATTGTAATGTAATCAAAATCAAATGATATTTTAATTAATTTTTTAAAGTTAGTGGTTGGAACAATTACTTTGTAAATTAGGCCTACAGAGTATATAAATTAGAACTTGAGAACTAGTTATATATACTTGGAAATAAAACAGGCAAATAAAATGTAAATCTGTATAGCATTTTTTATTTTACAAATAATTGAACATGAAGCAAAATACAACACACACAAAAACAGCTTTAAAAAATAGCAAATGTGTATACATGATCCTTTCGTTTGCTGTTATTATGGTAGGTCCACTAACTAGAGAGCTAATGATTTCTTATTTCTATAACCTCACACCCCCAGATATTAAAAGATCAGACACAGCAGCTGTTCAATGTTCTACATGATCAACAACCTCAAGTTCCAGTGACAAATGAAACAGACTCCACCAATAAAACGGTCAGATTTTATTTTATTATTTCACATTCTTATTTGTTTATAGATCAATCTTTTCTATCATTTTTAGGTATGGGTTGGATATTATATATATATTCCTTCTGTATAATTGAATTTATGGGTATGTTTTTTTTGTTGTACTGATGAAGGCGTGTGATTTGAATTTACATTTTGTGTAATCCTAAACCTCTTAAAAGCTTTATTGCAGTTTTTGTTGTTGTTGTTAGTATATGTATATTATATTTTTTTATATCAATGTACAAATGAAGTACCGGGTAGTTTTAAGCTTTATTACGGTTTGGTTGGTTTGTTAAAGCTTGGTGACCCTTTACTCCCAATGGTTGTCCTACGATACAAAACTATTTCATAACCATGCTCAATAGAAATATAATCAATTGAAAATAGATTAAATGGTTATTTTCTTAAAAGTTTTATTTTTCTTTTAAAAAGTTTCCTATGTATTTGATTTTTGGATTTAAAAAAAAAAAAGTTACACAGTTAAATACATGATCATAGGAGAACAATTACAATAAATCTTGATTTGAGTTAATAGATATTGGTATGTTACTATTGCAGGAACATGAAAGCACTTTCACATGGATGCATGATTACTGCAAGGTACCAGAATTACAGGAGGAATCAGCCGGTGGTGGCAAAAGTGTGTAGACAGACATTATTTTCAGGCACAAAATCAACACTGCAGTCAACACGGATATCCAGTTTAGTAAAGATGTTGCCACACAAACTGCAAATGAAAATGAGAGTGTTTCAACTGAAACAACTTTGCCAGCATTTACTTTTGAAGACATCCAAAACTGTGATGAGAAAGTACGTTTTTATACAGGATTTCCTTCTGCAAAATGTTTCACTGTGGTTTTTGATGAGCTGTCCCAACATGAGGATATTTTAAAGGATCAAGTAGGCCAGCGGAAAAGGCTAAGATTCATTGATGAGTTTTTTCTAGTGCTGATGAGAATCAGATTGGGACTTTAGTTAGAAGACCAAGCTGATAGGTTCTGTATTAGTGTGTCTACATGTAGCACTATTTTTACCAGTTGGATACACTTTTTGTATATTAATTTATCACCACTGTTCCACTGGCCCTCAAGACAGCAAGTTGATGATATGATGCCATCAAAATTTTAGAAGATTATGAGTGTCAAAACTACATGTTACTGTCGTCTAAAAATTAACCCTGTCCCTGTTCTTTTTACACATAACTTTCTTAACATTGGAGAAAGAGTTAAAATTTGTGGGCCTGTTCTGATTGAGCCAAGCTCTATTTAAGATCAGATAATATTCTTTTATTGATCCAAATAAATGGAAATGTTTTTTGATAGCATTATACATTTTCAGCTAAAAAATAAACTAATTTGATCACAAGAGATTTATAATAAATTATTTCAAACAGCCATTCAGTGAGTTTAGGGGAATAGTTTAATTTTACATCATGAAATTTTCATTTAGAATACCTAATTTAATAACAAATTCAAGAATCTAACAAAAGAGTCTTGTGCGCTCAGACTTTCATCTAACTTTATCGATTCCACACCACCATAGCAAACATTTGTCAATATACCGGTACATTCAATCACAAGACATAAATCTACATTTTCAATATCTGTGCATCAGCTGTTAAATAAATTATAGTTTTATAGACTTCATTAAAAAAAAATTTTTTATTATGGCAATGCCTTATATATATATTATATACACCGCATTTACATTTCATGATGATTTGTTTTCAGGTACAGCTGAGCATGCAATAGCTTAGAAAATATTTTTAAAGGCATTTAACCTGTCATTTTCAATTAAACATCAAAGCTGGAAAATACCAATAAAAACAAAAGCTTGTAACTTAACAAGAATTAAAAATGGACTGATTGTTGCATTTACTTGCATAATTCTGACAATTGAAGATTTTACCTGTCATTTTCAATTAAACATCAAAGCTGGAAAATACCAATAAAAACAAAAGCTTGTAACTTAACAAGAATTAAAAATGGACTGATTGTTGCATTTACTTGCATAATTCTGACAATTGAAGATTTTAAAAAATAAGTTAAAATTAACTTTCTGATACAGACAACCTTTACATTGCTGCTAAATAAATTTGTATTGGTCCTCCCACTCTTTTTTCAGTAAAGAGACTTGCCTCTTTGCACTCGACGTGAAAACAGTTCAGGTACCACACCTTCTAGAAAGAACTGCTTTAATTTTTCCTGCATATGTGACCAAAATATGGCATCAAAATAGATTCTTTCCACGTGTAGATCTTTAATGTCCAAACAACAAAAATCTACCTAGTTTGCCAGTTATGCCCATCTGACCTTGGATTTGGCAGAAATAGTGATGGGAACGTTTAAGTCTGATACTATTATTTTCTATGGCACAGAAGAAGGCTTTGTTTTCACATGACTCTTTCACTGTTAAATCTCTGTGGGTAAAGGGATGTTTGATTTCCACCAAGCCCACAGATGGAAAACAATGATTACAACAAATTACAATGCCATCTGGACTGGGAGCCAAAAAACTATTGTTCTTATCCATAAAGAGTCCAGACTCCTCTACTTGCAGACCTGGGTGCTCTTTTTGCATATTTTTAACATAAGCAACTCTGGAAACAGCTTCTTGTGATCTTCCCCACTTTACAGAGGACACATCAGGCACACGGCGGTAGCCCAATACTTCTTTTAAAATATTATCCACTGCAGTTTTATCCCTCTTATAGTTATTTGTCCAAAACTTGAACTTGTTAATCGACCCTGGCGAATAACTCTCCACAGGAGATTGCTTGCCTGTCCTCTAGTTTCTCTTTCAATCCGAGTGACGTCGAAACTAGGAAAATTGAGCATATACTTTTCAAAAATATCCGTACAAGTTTTAGTTTTTAGGTCTGTAGAATCCTTAAAATTGTATTCCACATCAGGCAACAAAAATACTTTCTCACAAAACTCAGAGGACTGTGCTGTTGTTAACACATAGCCTGAATTAGGTTCCACCAAGGAGAGCTTGTGACACAGGCGAGAAAAATTTACAATTGGGGATGTAAGTATTACTCGCTCAAGTGGCCGAAGTGGTCTCTCTGTCACTTTTTTGGGGCTTATTAGCCTTTTACGTTTTGGGACACTCCATGTGCAAGGTTGGGATGTGCATGCTGTCAGACCATTCTTCTTCTTCTCACAAATGTGTGAAGCATAGTAGAGAGCGGCAGCCATGTGATTACACGATCCACCTTCTCTGAAAATAATTTTTTTAAAACTATTACTGTCATAAAACTGAAACATTTATGTGATAACCTAAACAATGAAACTGTGTTTATGGACAATGACAAAAGTTAACTGAATAGAGTCATAATCATAACTGTATTATAGAATATTAAGGAAAATAAAATTAAGGAGGCGACAAGACTTTTTCTTTGTTAAAAAAACTCCCAAATAAGCTTAGTTTTACCAGTAGAAATAGTAATGACAACAATAAAATTTAATGAAGACAGCACAATAATATATTGTATTTAAAATTAAAATAAATTAAAACTCAGAATAGCTTACCCTGCAGTACAAGTACAATGTGCAGAATGTATATGTCCAGAGATCTTGCTTAAACATATCCATGTAGTGTAATCAGGTGTCTTAGAGACCTCCTTACTTGGCAAAGATGGCATGACCTTGGCTTGAATGAAACAATGGTCACAATCATCTCTGGAAAAGTTAAATGAAACATTTATCAGTTAGGGTATTTTTATGGTGCTACAACATCTATGGAATATTCAAAGTCTATTTTGTTTTCAAACTGTTTCTTGTTATAAAAATTAAAATTTTAAAACAAATAAATTCACCATCTTATTCTATTTGTTAATGTAGTAATACTTACATAATGTCAATGTACTGGTATTATGCTATTTGTTAATGTAGTAATACTTAAATAATGTCAATGTACTGGTATTATGCAATGTCATCTTTACCTGATAGGATGATAAGCAATGCTTTGCACATGTCCTTCTAGGAAATTAGTTCTGCCCTTCAGTTGTCGTGATGCTCCCATCACTCTGCTATCAGTTGTTTACAATCTGTAAAAATGACAGAGAAAATTAATGCACTACAATATATAAGAGTAAGAAATTATGACAGTATTTACTATATTCCTCAAATGTTAAGAAAAGCAAAGAGCCATACACCAACCAACCCGTACTGCTGATAGTCATTTGCGACAAAAAATAAAAAATATAATTACTGTACTTAAATTACATATGAGCAGCGAATGTTTGTATGTGTAATTTTGTATATTGACTTGATGATTAAATAGATCATTTGGATTTTTTAAGGCTACTGCTATTGGTAGTCAACTACCAATAGCCCCCAGAGAGCTATTGGTACTCCTGTAGTAGTTAGTAGTAGTAATTAGTGCTAGTTTATTACTATCAAAGACTAATAATTAGTGATAGATTTTGATGGATGTACTGAATGTACTGCAGTATTGTTGGAACTATTTTTAAAAAATTACATCATTGAAATCACTCTTTAAAAATGAGAGTTTGGGTTTATTAAAAAATATTTAAAAATTATGGTAGGGTTTGTAAGAGAAAATTTGGTATCAAATGAAAGATAGGCCTAATTGAATGGACTATATTTTTGTAATCTTACTTCTGGGGTGTCCGAATCCCATTAGACCAATGCTATTCGGATGTCATTTGTGGTAGTGTATTTTAGTTAAACTGATACCAAATTTTGTCATACAACCTATCAATATTTTTTTTTTTTTTAAATTTTATTCCCAACCTCTCACTTTTGAAACCCGGGTAGGAATAGCCACTTGGTAAGTCTTAAGTAGGTCTTTGTTTCCGACGTCTTAGACAGCAGCTGTCTGGTTGAGGTGCACTTCAAACAAAATCTATTTTCAATTTTGTGTCTAGTCTCATAAATTCACTCCAAATAGGATTTTAAAGCACACTAGGCTACGCTTTGTTTTATGTTTGTATATATTTTATATATCACTGCTTATGTTTTCATCAGATTCTGTTGAGTAAATTACATAAATTCTGCGTAGCATTAATTATAATTAATAAATAAATAGTAAGTTAGTATATAGAAATTGGTGACGTTTAAATAATTTGTTATAGATGAGCAATTTAACCAAAGAATATGATTAGCTGTCCATAAAAATATCAATGTCTTTATAAGTTAACGAGTGCTCAACTGTGTAAATAATACTCAGTAGGCATATCTCCCACCAGAAAATGGAAAATGGATAGCGGGGGGGGGGGGGGGGGGGGGTTGCCACATAATCATGTTCCTAAAGAGAGATTGGCCAAAGCTTCTGTTATCTTATATACTATTTTTTTAAAATACTTTAACACTGTAAACCCCTACCGTACAGTGAAACTATATTTCTGAGCCGGATTTATTTTCAATTGAGCAGGTTTTACTTTGGCAAAGATTTAACCCCCGGGCACATCTCTCTAGACCCAATTATGACTATTATTAGTATTAGGAGGACAGAACTAGATACCGGTATTAAATTCCATGCAATTAAAATTAAACTTTTGAATTTTATAACTAGTCAACAACTGCAGTTTGTTAGTTACCGTCAGAAAAATGTATAATATTAAAGAACAGAACTAAAGATTGTATCCCCTTGTCATTAACTGTATGTAGGTTACATGGGTATGCTGTCTAGAACACCTTTCTTTCTATCTCCTGCAGAGCTGATGTCTTGTAAGAATCAAATAACACAAAACAGTGAAACAATTCATATTCATGTATTTAATCCTTTGTAATTTGTATGCATGTGGGTTGAAATGCATGAGAAACAAATCAGCCTAAAAGCTCACTCATGATGTCTTGTAAGAATCAAATAACACAAAACAGTGAAACAATTCATATTCATGTATTTAATCCTTTGTAATTTGTATGCATGTGGGTTGAAATGCATGAGAAACAAATCAGCCTAAAAGCTCACTCCTGTCCCTACATCCACAGCAATGTCACTTTCAACAACAATACAAAACTACATACTAAAACAGAACTCATTACTGTCCACTCAACACTAGTTCCTTTAACATAACACTTTTTTCCTCACATGTTTTTTTTTTTTTAAGACACACCGCCCACTGAAACTATGGTTTTAATCAGCATTCTATCCCTATAATATTCTTACTTAGCAGATTCATCAGAGAATTAGAAACATGCAAGTATGAAGCAACTAAAAAAAAATATAATAAATTTAATAATTACATTTATTAACAAATTGGGCATAGTTATTTTAAAAAATAATAATAAACATGTAGAGTAAAAAAAACAAATGTGTTTCTGATGGACTTCGCAAAGGCATTTGACAGTGTGAATCATAGTTTGCTTCTACACAAAGTCCAGAGATATGGTATCCAAGGCACCACTAAAACATGGATCTCTAGCTTCCTCAGTCAAGCAGTAGTGGTGTATGGTACAAGCTCCTTGTAGTGAATTCAGTGAATCGATGTGAAGTCAGGGGTCCCACAGGGATCAGTGCTAGGCCCCTGTTTGTTTCTAGCATACATTAATGACCTACCCGAGAATCTGACATTCCTGACTGTTTGCAGATGACACGGCGGTGTATAGTACACTCGCCAACAGATCTGACCAGGATCAGCAACAACAGGATCTCAATCTGTTGGCTGAGTGGGAGATGAGCTGGGACAAGGAATTTCACTCTGCCAAGTGCCAGACACTATCAGTCTCTAAAAGTAGTACTCCTTTACACCACCAATACGAACTGCAAGACCATATACTTGAGCCAGTTTCCCCCGTGAAGTACCTGGGTGTTACCATTCAAAGAGAGGTCCGCTGGGATGAGCATTTTAACAATGTATGTAACCAAGACCCTGGGGCGTAATCTAAAGATTGGCAACTCCTGTGTGAAAGAAAGAACCTATAAAGCCCTAGTCCGTCCGGCTTTAGATTATGCATCTTCAGTCTGGGACCCATTTATCTAGAAGAGCATTGACAGGTTGGAGGCGGTCCAGCAACGAACAGCAAGCTTTGTCCTGAACCACTTTAGGAATACCTCTAGTGTTAGCAGCATGCTGGAAACACTGGGCGGGACACCATTGGAGGAAAGACGATGACAATCCAGGGTGTCCATGATGTACAAGATAAATAATGGGCTGGTCTACTGTTCCAGTATTAAACAGAAACTCGTCCCTCTCCCCCATAGAAAGCGACAAGGCCATGACAGGCAATTCAGGCTCATACCAGCAAGAAGCCAATATAGGAGCTGCTCCTTCCTGCCCAAGACAATCAAGATTGCAAAAGGAATAGTTGAGGCGACAACGCTAGAGTTATTTGTGTCTATTACCTCAAGCCTTCAAACCCCCAGTGCATGATTCCCTCACAAAGTGACACTGGAAATCATTGAAATGCCCTCATCAACACCAGGCACAGAAACGAGCCAAAATGATCAATAAATTGATCGTGGGTCTTTAATATATAGAAGAAGATGAATCTCAATATAATGAATATGTTATAAATAATACATTAGCAACATCCAAAATTAGATTAGAAAAAACAAAACAATTCCTTATGAATTGAATTAATGAAGTTCATAATGAAACGTATAAAAAAATATTCATGCTGGTAATAAAATATACATGAATAAAATGAATGAAAAATATTAGACCAAATATATATCAATAACAATACAATACCAAGCATAAATAATGAATGAACTGAAATTACCAAAAAATAAGAATACACACTACAATTATGGAAATATATTAACGCAGTAAAAAAATAATTAAATTACCAGCATGACTGACAAAACCATGATTTTATCTTCATACTGGATCTATAGCCAGCACAATCATAGTGCAACCATTCCAGACAATGATCACACTGTACCATCTTTAGCTCAAAAAAAAATAATTAAATTACCAGCATGACTGACAAAACCATGATTTTATCTTCATACTGGATCTATAGCCAGCACAATCATAGTGCAACCATTCCAGACAATGATCACACTGTACCATCTTTAGCTCACCATCATCTATAGTTTGACAATAGCTGCAAGAAAATAGATTATCTTGACTTTTTATACTAACTCAAGCCAACAATTCCCTCCAGGCATCCTCAAGAAATTTATTTTTAATTGAGCTAAAATTATTATCCACTAAACATGCACCCAACAGATTGGGCGACTTTAATTGATCTATAGAGTACGGGGGTGCACCACCTGTCACACATGCATTTACATATAAATCAAATTTAACATCATCTTTCAATTTGTCGAACTTTAAAGGAACTGAATGTTTTCTTTTTCTCCTAGTGAAATTCTGTTTATTATTTGGCCTGCCCTTAACTCGTACTCTTTTTAAAATAATATTAGAATAGCTAGCATCAGCTTCAGGAAGTGAGTGTTCATTGTCAAAGGATTTACAAGGTAAGGATTGAGCATCAATTAAACTAACGGCTTTTGCAGAAGAACAAGCCAGTGAATCAACTATATTACAATTGGCGCTAGTTGAATAACATGTCAGTGAATCTACACCATTAATAAGAACAGTAGTAGTGGAAGGTATATTATTAACAAATGGACAATGTATTGAATCAGCATCAGTTAATGCAGTAACTGTAGGTTCACTGCATGTTAATTCAACATCATTAATGAAAACAGTATTAGTAGTAGCACAGGGTAATGAATCAACATTTAAATCAACACTAGGCACAGTGATATTTATTTATTTATTTATTTAGGCATTTTTATATAGCGCTTATCATAAAGCTCTAAGCGCTTTACAATTATTAAAACATGTAAACTAAGTAAATACAAATGAGACACTAGGATAGTAACTACTATTCTATAGAAACAATGAAAATGGCTATAAAAAGAGGACACTTTGACACTTCAGGATNAATGCCATGCAAGAGATAGATTAAATGCCTGACTTGAAGATATTTGTCTTTAAAATCAGTGTCTCCAAGCAAAGGCAAATAAGAGGAAATCTCACTAACAAGTTTAAAGGTCAATACATATTTGTCCTCTGGGGCACTTAGATTTACATTAGAAAAATTGTGTTCATTAATAGCACCAGTATTTTGTACAGTTTCATGCAGGCAGTCAAAATGAGCCTTATTTTTGAACCTGTGGTTACAAGTCACTGGTTCATAAATGGAAAGTCCATTCTGCTTTCTTACAAACATTACATGTTTACAGTATAAATCAAAACTTTAAAAAAATAACAAGTGCAACCACTATATGTTGCGACAGATTGTGTGTTTGTACCACTACATGAAACATTAAAAGAAGGTTTCACTTGTTATTTGAGTACAATGAAACTCAACTTTTCCTAAAGATAGAAATTGCTGAGCAACATATTCAGCAGCAAAATGTGTTAAATCATTTTTTATTTGATTAATAACTGGATCAATCAGTTGGGCATTATAATGTCTGGCATTTGAATTTAAAATTGATGCTAATTTTGATAGCTTACTTATTTGTGACCCCTGCCATTGCTGTCAACGGCCATTATAGTTAAAAGAGGCAAGTTATAAATATTTGTTTTGTAGGTAATATCCATTACTAAAACTTCTGGATACTTAATCAAACATTGCATCATCTCACGTGATGCATACACTAAATATATAAAATTAGCCTCCCCATCCCTCCCAAAATCAACTCTACCTCCTTCAACCATTAGATAATTTAAAAGTTTTTCTGTCTCCTGCTGGTCTGTACTTTTATTAGGCACACGCACCTTTGCCCTCAGATTGCTGACATCTTTGGGAGCAACCACAACATTCTGTTCTTTTAATATAACTTCTCTGAGCTCGGTGTTGGACACTGAAGTATACTGAAGCAGCGTGTTCAACATTGGGGTTAGCTGGACCTTTCTCCTCTCAGGCAATGCATTAACACTCTAAATAAAAAAGGAAATTAAAGCAATTTGAGTATGTAAAAAAAAAAATATATATCTAAGTGTAGCCTATAACTTAAAAGAATCTAATGTATACTATACAAGTACAATAGAAATACATTAAAAGCATGTATCCGGAATAACATCTTACCTCCTGGGACAGCATGTGGTTAGCATGAACTAAATCCGATCCGATTGCACTACTTGCAACTTCCAGTTGTCTTTGACTTTAACCATTTTAACTTTCAATTTGGCTGGACACCCTAGTTTTAATGACCTATAAAATAAATAAACTGTTTTAAATAACATTAACTATGGTCATTTAAAGTGTAGCAGATAGTTTTAACAAGTTCTTAACTTGTATATTATTTAACAGTAACATTCTAAAAAAGAACACACCTCTGGTTAGGTCGCAAGCCCTTTGATTTTTACGCCCTCTCTGTGCCATGCTTGCATTCATAGAGTATGAACTGGTAAACCAGAGTCTCATACTCAATGGATCCATTCGTAGCTGGTAGCTAAATTTAATAAAACAAATGAATACATTATAATTATAATACATGTATATTGTATGAAATTATGGATAATGTTAAGGACAGCTGCCACGGCATCATTTGGGTGTTTATTATAGTTGCAGTAAATTAGGGTTTAGGTTAGGTTGAGAGATCGATTTAGGGTTCAGGTTATGCATAGGGATCGATCTAGGGTTCAGGTTAAGCATAGGGATTGATCTAGGGTTCAGGTTAGGCATAGAAATCGATCTAGGGTTCAGGTTAGGCATAGGGATCGATTTAGGGATACATTCGTGATATTCGATAAAATAGTGGCAGTCGTCCTTAACTTTTACTAATGAAATTACTATTATACTTAAACTATATAATAATATATCTATAAATCTATTTTTAAAAAAAGCACTTTATAACAATAAATAAATTGTAAAAGCAATAAATAAAGATAGTTAGATATTAAGATAGGCTTACCTTTTTAGAACTCTTTTTTTATAAAGACAGCATTTTGAAGCTCTTCTAAAGCTTTGATGGCATTTTCCAAATCTTTGAATGTATCAAAATGGCAATTTGCAGCTAAAACACTTTCAGGATTCATTTCAGGTGTTGTCACTAGTACAAACTAGTAAAAAATGAACGAGGCACTTCTAAAGCTTTGATGGCATTTTCCAAATCTTTGAATGTATCAAAATGGCAATTTGCAGCTAAAACACTTTCAGGATTCATTTCAGGTGTTGTCACTAGTACAAACTAGTAAAAAATGAACGAGGCATTGCTTCACCCTCGTCATAGAAAGCAGGTTTTTAAATTTCTGGTTTTGGTTTGATTTGATTGGCTGGACTACCAATAGCTCACTAGTAGCTATTGGTAGTGAACTACCAATAAACACTTCCTTTTTTAAACACAATTAACATTAGGCCTATTAAAGCCTAATTACTAACACTAGTTTATAAATAGATCTATATACTTGTCTGGTAGGCAATTTTTTTTTTTATAATGAATGATGACAATAAAAATAAAAGTGTTTACTGTAGTGTAGACTGTCAAATATTATTATTATTAGGTCACTAATTAATCATTTAATCATTTATTTAGTACCTTAATGCCTTAATTACAGTAGTCTATACTATATAATTATTATAATATACATCTGGGCTTAGTATTAGACTTAGTTTAGTAGGCCAATTATAAGTTATACTAGTGTTATTGTATTATCATAGTATGTCGTCTGTAGTATTGTTGAAAATAATTGTAGCACTGCTAACAGCTCTTTAACATTACAGAGTGGTTTTTAAATAATTAGGAATAAATTTTACCTGCTCAACACAAAGTAGTTGTAGACATCTGTATCTTTGACATCTGAAGGCATTGCCTCCAACATCAGCCAGTCTTTTAAAATTGCATTTTCGCTCCTGAAGGAGTAGTTAGTAACAAAGTTTCCACGATGGAATAGTTCGTCTTTACTGGGTTTTTTTCCACAAATTCGCAAAGCTACACAGCCATGTGCCCGATGTACTAGTTCTGCTTTATTTCCAGATACCAGCTGATGCAATTCCCGTAAAAATTTCTTAATTTCGCCAGGTCTCAAATGCTGTTTTCGCCATGTTAGCAGGCATCTTTGTTCGTGCTTTGAACGATAACTCTGGGTGACAAGGGAAGTAATAACCCCATTTGCAGTCCCCTGGATCAACAGGAGTTGTCAACTATATGATCTTTATTATCCATCTTTGCAGACCAGCTTACTTGATCGAAATTGCAAAGTATGTCACTTATACTTATATTTTACCTCACAAACAATGTCGAAGAAACATGCAGGACAACACAGAGCTCGGGTTCGGTAGAATGTGCCAACCCAATCTCGGATAAAACGCATCCGTCCTTTGAGAATCGCTGCTAGAAGGCAAAGAGAACTCATGGCAGTTATTGCCAGAAGAGAAAATGCACATTCAGAGAATGTTGAGTGGCTAGATGAGGATGAAGTTGATCTGTCTGCAATTATCCGTCCATGAAACGATGATGGTGAAAGATTGATGCCAGTCGTAACTATGGATGAACACTTCACCATGGATGGATGATGTCCAGTGAATATTTTTGAATTAAAAATAATTCACAGGCCCAAAATAAACAAATTCAATATAGCACAAGAGTTTGTCACAAAATTTGTCTTTTTTTAGTCAAATTGTTTTGTTTCCGAATATGCCGTTTATTTTACAGTGACCCGGGTCCGAATAGTCAAATCCTTTGGAGATAATGCCTATGCCGACTGATGGTCTGCGGTAAGTTTGTACATTTAATAACTATCCTGAAATTCTGACACTCTATTATATTTGTAATAAAGCTAACAGTCCCCTACTCTGTTATATTTGTAATAAAGCTAACAGTCCTCTACTCTGTTATCCCGAGAGGCAAGTTAGAGTGAAATCAACTTGACGCCTATTTTATTGTGCTATAAGTGATGCTAAAATGCTAAAAAAACACTCAAAGAAAAAATTTTGAATTTCATATTTGATTTATTTGATGTGCAGTCTACTGGACATCAGGATCCAAATTATTTTTTGCCATACGTAAATAAAAAGCAAACACTTGATTTAAAAACTCAGTCATAAATCTCGTAGGGTTGAGCCTTTTGATTATTTCCATCAATGTTTTGATGAACATTTCTACACAGATACAGACTTTTCACCAATCTGCATACCGGTTCCATTACAGCCGAAGAAATAAAAATGTTTTCTTAGAATTAGCATGGAGATTTCTTGCCTGATGTATCCCTCAATATGAATGTAATGGGCAACTTCAACTAGTGTGCCAAATAATGCAGAATCCATGGCTCCAACTAACCAGTGTTTACTATGGTCAATAAAGGTAAAAAAGTATATAGAGCAACAGTGTCCATTTCAAATAAAACAATGTAATCACAACATGGGAGGTGTCGACTTCTGAGCTATTACGCTACTTGAGCCATAAATTCCAAATGGTCTATCAGAGTAATATTCAAAATGTTGGACCAAGCTACTGTAAATGCATAGTTTCAATACTGGTACCAAGAAGACATGGAGAAACTAAGCATGAAAAAAGCACTCCTCCATTTGATGATGTCAGCTTTGAAAAATATTGAGGGAAAAAAAAAAAAAAAAGAGTCCTTGCAACCAATCCAGGTCTTTGTTATCAACAAGGTACCCATCTGCCTGATATTCCAGATATTGATTCAAATTCTTTTTCAAGATGTAGCAGAGAAGGATGTTCAGCAGAACGCAGGGTGCGCTGTTCAACTTGCAAAAGCATTTTTGTGTTTGGTTGCCAACAGGAACTGCTTAAACTTCGAATCTTTCATACCAAATCCAACTGAATGAATCTTTTGTAAGCTTAATTCATTAACTTTGAGATTAACATCTGACAAGCAGGAACAAATTGGTTGGTTTTACGCCAAAGGGAGCGACTTTCACTTTTTTTGTTGTCTTTGGTCTGGACAAATGTTCTTCGTCTTCAGATTATTCATTTTCAGAGTTTGATTCATCGTAATCAATGTCGTCATCTATATCAATTTCATCAGAGGATGAGGATATTTCTTTGCTATCTGACGATTGTTCAAAAATCACATACAACTGTTGTTCTGTGTAGCATTTTCTCCGAGTATTGCCTACAACAGTAAAAAAAAAAAAAACAACAGTTTAGATGATGAAAATAAGATTTTTCTTTTTATTCATTTTTAAGATAAATTATAAAAATTGGGGATTTTCTTAAAATGTCAACAAACTAAATAAGGCCTTAATAGTTTAGAATGCCTAAATTAAATATTTAAATATGTTGAATTCAAATATTCCGACTTGAGATACAGTACTATTATTAGTTAAGTTTAGTGAACTGTAGTAAACCTGGACCTGACCTAGGTAATTTTCATTATTTTTTTATTTTAAAATCTATTAATAAATCTTCTAAAGACTATATAAGAGATCTAACTAAATACTGACTAAAATATATGTATCTTAAAGCGTAATTACTTTGATAACAATTATACCATTTAAACACAACTAAAAATGATATCGATTGCATAGACTATGACTGTGACTTTTATTCTTTTGTCACCGTATCACCGGTGTTGTTTTGATTTGAGTCCTGTGTCCATTAGACTGAACACCTTTTAAAATGATGTAATGAAATATGAATAAAAATCCTGATATTGATAATGATATATTCGTATTCTTTGACATATTGTTATTGTCTTAAAACAACATTGAAATCTTTAGATTGGGTTAAATCTAATAAATAATAGCAAAAACTTACCAGCACCCCCCTGTGCACGAATGTGCTGCCCCTCTATCGGCCATCTTAACCCTTACGGTACTGTTTACTGACATACTTTTTGCTTTTATTGTCTCAGTACCGGGAGTCGCTTAGTCGATTGATTTGTCACGTGATGTGAGTAAAAACAAGTAAGACTTCCGGTAGGCTGTATACAACACACTAGTGCTTGACAACAGTAGCCCGATACACACTACAACAACACTACATTTCGTCCAATGAAAATTAACAATAAAATAAACAAAGGGGAATGACTCCTGCATCAATACTGAATAAAAACGCAAATGACGTCATGAGCACGCACGGAGCTCAACAACATCCTGCCGATAATATTATTGATAGTTCCCATCGAATATCGCTCACAATTTTTTCTTGAAATAACTTTCTTCCTTTAATCATAACTGACGTATATTTATTGTCACATTTATGTATTTCATTTAAAAAACGCATGTATTCCAGAATATTTCGAAAGGTAAAATTTTTAAGTAACATGACATTGGGGAAGCACTGATGAAGTATCTTTTGTTGTGTGTAGCAGCCTAGTGATGGCTTACTCACATCACGTGACCAAATAAGGAAGTGACTAAGCGACTCTCAATGGCTAATTATTCCTTGTGGCCCAGACATTATTTTGGAATGAGTCAAAATTTGATAGGATTTTAATTTATTTTGTAACTTTTTTGTTTTAAACAATTGATAATAACATGTAGAGAATTATCTGTTCAGAAATGGATAAGGGTGTTAAAAAAAACATTTCTAATCCCCACTAAATTTCAATAATATTTTCAGAATAAAAGGTTTCATCAAGTGGGCGTAAGTCGCCATCAACAATAGCGATTAAATAGCGCCATGGAAACAACAAATACAGATCCGTTAAAAAAAA